CTCTCAAAGAAGAAACATTCAATGTTTCACAATTTGACACATTGAATGTTTCTCTTTGCAGCCCATTCCACATGTGAGTCGTGTCGTGTCGGGCGTCCGTTTGGCCCCGGGTGACCGCATCGGAGCCCGTGTTATAAAAAATCGTTGGTAGCGCGAAGATTTATTTTCAAAAAATAATAAAAATTTAACAGAAATTTCATTATTTACAAATTTTTTTATAAATCTCTTTGCAATCATTAAATTATTTTCATAAATAATAAAATTTTTACAGGGATTCAATTATTTTGGTATATAATAAAATTCTTATTAGGAAATCAATTATTTTGATAAATAATAAAACTCATTGCAGAATTTCAATTATTTTTAATACAATTTTTATTGAATTCCTCGAAAAAATGTAATTATTCTTAAAAATTTTATTAAAATTTGTCAAAAGAATTTAATTATTTAAAAATTTATTGTTACAATTCTTTATGAGAATTCAATTTTAAGAAACATTCAATTATTCAATAAATTATTTAATTTTGTATTTTAATAATTGAATTCTGTTTGAGTTTTCTAATAAAAATTGATTTAAAAATTAATTTTAGTTTAAATTTTAGATAATAATTGAATATTAAAAGCAATACACTGAAAAAAAATTTAATTGCTTCAATTAACCGATTAATTGACTATTATCCATTAAATATTTAATTGAATCAAATAATATTTATTGGAGTCAATTAAATGGTATTTGATTCAAATACTGAAATTATTGGTTCAAATACCATTTAATTGACTCCAATAAATATTATTTGATTCAAGTATATATTTAATTGATAATAGTCAATTAAATGGATATTTGAATCAATTAAATTTTTTTTTCAGTGTAGAACGTAAATTTTTAGAAATAATTGAATTTTGAAAAGGTTTCAGATTAAAATCTTTGGAAATTCGAATTTTTCATATTTTTAACCAACAATTCTGTGGAATTAATTTTTTTTTTGAGAAAGTTTAATTGACGATTTTTTTATATTATTTGAAGTTTTTATTTTCTAATATATATTTAATTGAAGAATTTAGGAATAATTGAAATTTCGTAAAATGGAATATTGTAAACAAATGGATTTGAAAATTGTCAAAGAACTTTTTCGAAAATTATTAAAAATAATCGAGTTTAAGAAGAATTTTAGTTAAAAATTCTTAATAATAATTTTATCACTGGGTCATTTCTAATTATTATAAAACATGAAGAAATCGATCACTTTCGAGACGAAGACTCGGAGTTATTGATATCTTCATGTTTTATAGTTATGAAAAATTTAATTTATAGTTTTAAGTAAAATGTTCTCTTATTTGACTCTGACTGGTTATATTTTTGTCAGCAATTGGTCCGTAAAGTCCGTTTTTTTAAAATACTTTCACTGCTTCAAGCCCTGCATCAAATTGGATTTTTTTTTATTAATGAAGACCTTTTTCCGAAACACGAAAGTACTCAGAACTTTTTTAGAATTTATTTTTGATTCAGAAAAAATTTGTGTCTTAAAAAACGATTATGGTCTTGATAATTTTTTTTAACAATTTTTGGAGTCGAATAGAAATTTTGACTTTTTTTCATCAAATTGGAGCTTTTTTTTATTAAAGAAGAGCTTTTTCCGAAACACGGAGGTAATCAGAACTTTTTTAGAATTTATTTCCGATAGAGTAAAAATTTGTATCTTGAAAAACGACGCTGGTCTTGTAAATTTATTTTCACAATTTTAGAGTCGAATATCAAATTTGGTCTTTTTTTCATTAAATTGGAGTTTTTTTTATTAAAGATTTAAAAAAATTAAAAGTAAAAGTAAAAGTGAAAGTGAAGTTGAAATTGAAAATAAAATTGATATTGAAATTAAAATTAAATCGAAATTAAAATTAAATTTAAATTTGAAATTCAAAGAAAAGTACGATTAATAATAAAAATAAAATCCACACAGTAATTTTTTTATTATTTCCAAAGTGAATTTAGAGACGGTAACAAAATGATGAAATATAAAAAAGAGTGCGATGGCCGGGAATCGAACCCGGATCAACTGCTTGGAAGGCAACTATGCTGACCATTACACCACCATCGCACGTTGAAATTTCCCAGCATTACTCTCGTTCTAAGTTGAAGGCCAATTGATGATTCATTAAATTTTTATAGCCTACAATAAAATAACTCACAAAATATAATCGCAATTTTTCAACTTCACATTGTGATTAAATGACAATTTTAAATAATGTTTAGAACGTCATTTTCATTTTCTTTCTTTTACACGTGTGTGATTATATATATTTCCAACACTTTGACATTGAATGCCACAAGCCACAGTGATGTATGACAACATTTTGGTACCTGTTCAATTTTTCAGTGGCTTTTTGTTTTAAATAGAACACACGCTATAGTACTACAGAATTTTTTTTAAAATTTATCACATTTGATAGTAAACATACCTAATATTTTTGATTTTTGAAAAAGTTTAATTTTTCCCCCTTATAAATTTTTAGTAGAAAAAATAATAGTGGAATAACGGGAAAAACGGAGTAAAAAGTGGAATATTTTGTAAAATTAGATTTGTTTAATTTTTAATTTTCGTCAGTTTTTTTTAATAAATTAGAGGGGGAGAAATGAATTAGAGGCGCGATCCCCTGTTTATTTGGTGTGATTGTCGTAAGCAATTTGTCAATTATCGTCAATGAACGAAAGAGCACAGAGCACAGTCCACTTTCTTTTGACAAAAAGAATTCCGTGAGTAAAATGTACTTCAACTTTTGTAATTAATAATTAATTTTTATTTTGCAAAATATGTAAAGCGTGAAATTTTCAAGGTGCTTGTTCTTCAATGTCACTAATGTTTTGACATTTCCGGTCAACACATTTTGATAATTTGTAAACTTTCTGCTTTTCTACATATTGTTGATATATTCAATTCGAACAAAGGATGAGCATCTAAATTCTCCCGTTTCTACTTTACCTGTAAAACTGTTACGTTTTACGTAAATTTACGAAAACTTACGCGATCTTGAATATTATTTTTCTCTTCTTTCGTTTTGTTTTAGTTTTTTAATAATAATTTTAGTTTTTATTTTTTATTGCTTTTCTTATTCTTATTTTTCGAAAATGTAAATTTTATAATAAAGAGAATTTTATGAAAATAATTGAATTATTGGGAAGAAATTTATGAAACATTAGTAAGTAATTGAATTTTGCAGAAGAATTTTGATATTTACAAAAATAATTGAAATTTTGAGAATTTAAAAAAAAAATTTTGAAAATAATTTAATTTCTGCCAAGAATTTTCTTACTTTTTGAAGATAATTGAATTTTGCAAAGAATTTTATTAGATCTTTTGAAAATAATTAAATTTCCAGGATGAATTTTATTATTTATGAAGATAATTAAAATTTTGACGAGAAATTTAAAAAAAAATTAAAAATAATTGAATTTCTAGGATGAATTTTATTATTTATAAAGATAATTTAAATTTTGACAAGAATTTTATTAAAATTTTTGCAAATAATTGAATTTCAGAGAATTATTTATAAAGATAATTGAAATTTTTAACAGATTTTTTTAAAAATGTTTAAAAGTAATAGAATTTTGCAGAAGAATTTTTATATTTATAAAAAAAATTGAAATTTTGAGAAGAATTTAAAAAAAATTTTTGAAAATAATTTAATTTCTGACAAGAATTTTCTAACTTTTGAAGATAATTGAATTTTGCAAAGAATTTTATAAGAACTTTTGAAAATAATTAAATTTTTAGGATGAATTTTATTATTTATGAAGATAATGATAATTTTGACGAGAAATTTAAAGAAAATTTTGAAAATAATTGAATTTCTGCGGAGAATTTTATTACTTTTGCAAATAATTGAATTTCAGAGAATTATTTATAAAGATAATTGAAATTTTGAACAGTTTTTTTAAAAAATGTTAAAAAATAATTGAATTTTGCAAAGAATTTTATCAGAACTTTTGAAAATAATTAAATTTCCATTTTGAATTTTATTCTTTATGAATTTTATTATTTATAAAAATAATTTAAATTTTGACAAGAGTTTTATTAAAATTCTACACAAATAATTGATTTTCAGAAAAGAATTTTATTACTCCCAAAGATAATTGGAATTTTGAGCAGATTTTTTTAAAAAATTTTAAAAGTAATTGAATTTTGAGAAGAATTAAAAAAAAATTTTGAAAATAATTTAATTTCTGCCAAGATTTTTCTTACTTTTGAAGATATTTGATTTTATTTATTATTTATGAAGATAATGATAATTTTGACGAGAAATTTAAAGAAAATTTTGAAAATAATTAAATTTCTGCGAAGAATTTTATTACTTTTGAAAATAATTGAATTTCTAGAATGAATTTTATTATTTATAAAAATAATTGAAATTTTGACAAGAATTTTATTAAAATTTTTGCAAATAATTGAATTTCAGAGAAGAATTTTATTATTCACAAGGATAATTGAAATTTTTAACAGATTTCTTTTAGAAGTCATTGAATTTTGCAGAAGAATTTTGATATTTACAAAAATAATTGAAATTTTGAGAATTTAAAAAAAAAATTTTTTAAATAATTTAATTTCTGCCAAGAATTTTTTTACTTTTTGAAGATACTTAATTGAATTTTGCAAATAATTTTATCAGAACTTTTGAAAATAATTAAATTTTTATGATGAATTTTATTATTTCTAAAATTTTGACGAAAAATTTTAAAAAAATATTGAATATAATTGAATTTCTGCGAAGAATTTTATTACTTTTGAAAATAATTGAATTTCAGAGAAGAATTTTATTAAAATTTTTTTTAAATAATTGAATTTCGGAGAAGAATTTTATTATTTAAAAAAATAATTGACATTTTAAAGAGAATTGAAAAAGATAAATTCAAATTTCCCGCCGTCCCGTAAGTCGGTGTATGAAAATAAAAGTACGGGACGTTAGCTACCCAGCCCTGCGAATAAATGACGACATCGTTGATTACACTCGTGATTTCATGCAACGCCATTTTCTTTGTGTGCAGTGTTGGAGCAGAAATCATCATTGCTCCAATTAATCTGAAATTTCAAGTTATTTTCATAAAGTTTCAATCATTAAACTTGTTTAATTGACTGTGATATAAAGTGTTCGCGCTGTAAATCAACATTTTATCAAGGGACTTGTTGTCAACAAAAGTATTCCTCAAGTTTGAGATCGCGTGTTGACAGGTTTCTAAAAGCTTTAAATTTTAATCACAAAGTAAGTTGAAAACTATTGTGAAGAGAATTTTATTAGGAAAATTTCTCGTTCATCATTTATTGTGATAATTTAACTTCGTAAAATTATATTCCACTATATTTGAAATATTAAGAATTTCTCAGGAAAATTGTCAATCGTATTGTGCGTCTTATTGTTTTTTTCTTGTAATAAAGAAAGAATTTTTCTCACAGTGATACGTCATTTAAAAAGGGGGTGTATTTTTCCATTTGACATATGAATCATTTTGGAATCAACGGACTTGTTATAACTTAACAATATTGTTGACTCGTTAATCTTCTAATTAACATGTTTCCAAGAATATTTAACCTGTCGCGATAAATTTAAAGAGTTTTTTAGTTGTCAATACTTTCTAAGATGTGTTTTCTGCGTTGTAGCATGATATTCCATTGTTAGAGGAATACACGCGTTTGATATGGTAATAGATTAGAGAGAGAGTAGTGTGTGTTTTGTAATGATATTTTCAGTGATTTTTGTTTATATTCATTTGGAATGCGTTACTAATTCGCATTAATAACATTCTTCGTTTTAATCCTGATAACTACAAGTGATCTCTATTTTCTGTTATAGATATCCATTGCCAGATTGAATCACAACGAGGATGTATTGACGACATCTGTTTTGTAATCAAGGCGATTTGAATTTCTTTCATCATTTTTCTCAGCTCCAGCTTGGTTATAAGGTAAGAGACTTAAAATGATAATTATTGTTTTGCTATTTTCATGCTTTGAGTGTTTTTTGTGGCGTTTTTTTATAAGAATGATTAGTGACAATTGTTTTAATTTAGAAAACAATTTGTAATTCAAAACAATTTGTTAATTAAAAGAGATTTTAAAATATTGAAACGTTTTTAAAAAGCAAAATGTTCGAAATGTTTTTTTTTAAACTGTCATAAAATGTAAAGTTACTTTAGCGAAGTTTGAGAAAACAATTTAAGGATTTTTTGAAACGTTTTTAAAAATTTGTAAAAGTTGTAAATGTTTAAAATGTTTTTAATATTTTTAAACTATAAAAAAAATATAAATTAACTTCAGAGAAGTTTAAAAAATTCAATGATATTTAATATCTACTATTTTCATAAAATTTTCCAAAAGAATTCAACTATTTAAAAAAAAATTTAATGAAATTCTACACAAACTTTTAATTATTTTCAAAAAATAATAAAAATTTGACAGGAATTTCATTATTTACAAATTTTTTTCATAAATTTCTTCGCAATCATTCAATTATTTTCATAAATAATAAATTTTTTACGGGGACTCAATTATTTTCGTAAATAATAAAATTCTTTTTATGAATTCAATTATTTTCACAAATAATAAAACTCAACGCAGAATTTCAATTATTTTTAATAAAATTTTAATCGAATTCCTCGAAAAAATTGTTAAGAATTTTATTAAAATTCGTCAAAAGAATTCAGTTATTTAAAACTTTACAGATAAAATTCTATATGACAATTCAATTTTAAGAAACATTCAATTATTCAGTAAATCTTTTTTTTGTATTTAAATAATTGAATTCTGGTTGAAGTTTCTAATAAAAATTAATTTTTCAGATAATAATTGAATATTAAAAGCAATAGAACGTAAATTTTTAGAAATAATTGGATTTTGAAAAGGTTTCAGATTAAATTTTCGAAAATTTGAATTTTTAATATTTTTAACTAACAATTCTGTGGAATTAATTTTTTATTGAGAAAGTTTAATTGCGGATTTTTTTATATTATTTGAAGTTTTTATTTTCTAATATATATTTAATTAAAGAATTTACGAATAATTGAAATTTCGTAAAATTGAATATTGTAAACAAATGCATTTAAAAATTTTCAAAGAACTTTTTCGAAATTTGTAAAAGTTACAAATTTTAATGTAATTTTTTTTGTCCGTAATTTTTCATTTTTGGTCCGTAAAGTCCGTATTTTTAAATACTCTTACTGGTTCGAGCCCTGAAATTGTCAAAAAAGTATAAATTTTAGTAAAATTCGAAATTTTGTCGAAAAGGAAAAATTTATTTAAAGTTTACGGAAATTATTATTTGAAATTCAAATTATTTAGACCGTGGTGATTAAGAAATGACGAGTATTGATGTAATTTTTACATTCTTATCTTATAAGAGGGAAATTTTTTTAATCGTATTATTTTGATCACTAAAAATGTCGCTGTATTGACACATTTTTGTTTCTTGAACACGTGAAGTTTGATACCTTGCTTCCGATTTTGTTGCTATCACTTTATCGGCTCATTTATAAAAAAGGTTTTGAAATTCAAAGGTTTATAATTGGATGCTTTTAGAGTTTATAAATATCGCCTCTATTTATAAACTGAAATTAATCGCTGAATGTTTATTTTTATTGATGAATTTTGCACAAACTTGAACCTTTCCACTAGGAGCTTTCTTTTATTTCGCACGTGCTGGCAATAATATTAACACTTTTCCACTTATCACCTGGAATGTCTGAAATGGTTGCTATAATTTTTAAAAATTATCCATTGTATTAGTGTGTAAAATTGTAATTTTTTTTTTCTCTCACTTCGACTCTCGCTTTTGCTTTCTTTTTTTTGGAGAAAATTAACCAAAGTTCTAACAATTTAGTGTGTGTGTGTGTTATGTTTAATAAAATTAGATAGTGAAAAATGCATGTTTAGAGTATAAGGGAAATTGAAAATCATATTGAACCTGCTTCTAAACAGACAAGAGGATTAAAAAAGAAAAAAAATGGCGTCTCGCAAGAAAGTATTACTGAAAGTTATCATTCTGGGCGATTCGGGTGTGGGAAAAACTTCTCTGATGAACCAATATGTCAACAAAAAGTTCAGCAATCAATATAAAGCGACAATTGGCGCTGATTTTCTCACAAAAGAAGTTATGGTCGACGATAGGATAGTTACAATGCAGGTAAATATGAACATTTTCGTTTTAATTAAAATTGTAGTCCAGGGTGTCTACTAATCGGGAATTTAATTTGACGGAGAATAAAAAATCCCTTTATATTTCAATTTTTATAAATATTTATACTGTTCTCTAAATTTGAATTAGTTAAAAATAATTATTTTGATAGTAAAAAATTAGTCACTGATTCAAATATAGTATGTAAATAAATTTAAAAAAATTATCGAATTAATAGAAATTTTGTGAAATTCAACTGAAAATAATTAAATTCGTTAAAGAATTGCATTAAAAACTTTTTAACAAATCGAATTTTCAAAGTATTTTAATTTAATAAATTGATAAATAATTGAATTTTATAAAGAGTCACATTCTTATGAATTCATGTTTCTTAGTGCGAAGATTAATCAATAAAACTTTTATTAGTAAATTTAAAAAAAGATACACACTTAAAATTTTTTAATAAAATTGAATTTACGAAAAATTTATTTGAAACTTCTGAAAAATAACATTTTTGAAATTTTTCGATTCTATTGTTTCAAGATAATTGAATTTTTATAAACAAATAATTGAAATTTCTTTTCATTCTATTAAAAATAATTTAATTCTTTTAAAGAATTTTATTTAAATTTTTTAAAAATAAGCAAGAGAAATTAGTCACCGTAATTATAATTTTATTTTTAAAAATTTCTTCGCAATATATTCAATTACTTTCATAAATAGTAAAACTCATTGCAGAATTTCAATTAATTTTAATACAATTTTAATCGAATTCCTCAAAGGTGATTATTTTTAAAAATGTTATTAAAATTCGTCGAAAGAATTCAATTATTTCTAGAAACTGTAAAAAAATTCTTCTCAAGAATGGAATTATTTCCGTAAATAGAAGAATTCTTCAGATTTACTAAATTCTTTTGAATATTATTTAAAAAAAAATTCTTCACAAGAATTCAATTATTTTCATAAACTTTTATAAAATTCTAAAAAACAACTTAATTGTTTTCAAAAGTAATAAAATTCTACGCAGAAATTCAATTATGTGTAAAAAATTTTTTAAATTCTCAAAATTTCAATTATTTTTATAAATAATTAATTTGTTCCCCGCACATTTCAATTTTTAAAAATACTCTTATCTATTCATAATTATAATTGCAAATTTGATTAATTCAATTTTATTAAACTGTATTGATACTAATTGAATTTCTGAAAAGATTTTTACTATATTTATAAAAGTAATTGAATCCTTCCAAAGAATGTTATTACATATTTTTGAAAATAATGAAATGTTTGCGTAGAATTTTATTACAATTTTTGAAAATAATTGACTTGTAAGTTAATTATTTGTTAATTATTTAATTAGTTAATTATTCTTTGTTTAATTCAATTATTTTCCAAATTTTCAATTAAAATTATTAAAAAAAACCGTTATTTTCAAAAAATTTAAAGAAACTCGTCAAAAGAATTTAATTATTCGTAAAAACTCTAATAACAATTTTTGAAGCAATTTGTAGATTTATTTATGTTCGAAATCAAATAAATTTAAATTTGTTGACAAAAAACCCGGGAAATAACAGGGTATTTGGTTGAACTAAAATAGTAGACACCTTGTGTAATGTTTTCAAGTGGAGGGAAAAAAATGTAAATCTTTGATTTTTTCTTTTTAGATTTGGGACACTGCAGGTCAAGAAAGATTCCAATCCCTTGGAGTTGCATTTTATCGAGGTGCCGATTGTTGTGTTCTTGTATTTGACGTCGCAGCACCAACATCCTTCAAATCCTTGGACTCTTGGAGGGACGAGTTTTTAATACAAGCCTCGCCAAGAGATCCCGACAATTTTCCATTCGTTGTCGTTGGCAATAAAGTGGAACTCGAAAATAGAGCGGTAAATTTTGCAAAATTCTGCATTAAAAAGTATTTGAATATTAAATAAAATATTAAAAACTTTAAATATTAAAAAGGTCAAATATTAAATATTAAAAATATTAAATATTAAAAATGTTAAATATCAAAAATATTTAATATTTAATATTAAGAATATTAAATATTACAAATATTGAATATTACAATTTTTAAATATAAACATTTTTGAATTATGTTAATTTCGTTTTAATTTAATTTACAAATTGAAAAATTCTTCCTTCAAGGTATCCACCAAGAGAGCTCAACAGTGGTGTCAGTCAAAAAATAATATTCCCTATTTCGAAACCAGTGCGAAAGAAGGAATCAATGTTGAACAAGCTTTTCAAACGATAGCGAAAAATGCACTGGCTCAAGAAAGTGAGGTGAGTAATTTGAATTTTTTTCTACAAAAATTTACAATTTTAAATAATTAATTAATATGATTTTAAATAAAGTAAATTTTAATTTATATAAATTTTATAATTTATTAAATAAAGTAAATTTTCCATTAACAGGTTGAACTCTACAATGAATTTCCCGATCAGATAAAATTGACCAACGACCAAAGAAATAATGGCAAAGGAGATTCTTGTGCTTGTTAGGTATCAAATAGACAAGTTTTTTTGAACGTTTTATGGTTAAAAGGAAAAAAAGCAGCGCAGGTTAAATTATTAATTTGAGAATCTCTGCGCAAAAAATTTTTTCAAAGCACTGCAATCACTGAAAGCTTTGGTTATAAAAAATTCCAGTGAATGTACCTTTATTATTATTATAATTATATTATTATTTTAATACTTTTTAAACTGACCATTTTGGGTTGATTGAAACATACTCAGATCGTTTCGATCCTTGTTGCCAATAACTCTGTGTCTGACTATCAAATAGAAAAAATTAAATACAGATTTTTAACTGTAAATATCACAGAGATTTTTGGGAGAAGAAAACAAAAATAATCTCTATTGAGAAAAAGAGAGAGAGAGAAAGCGAGAGTGTGTGAGAGAGAAATGTAAAAGAAAAATTTAAACGCGGCGAACATTTTCTCGAATGTTTAGAAATATTGTATCGTGTATCTATATCGTCGTGTAATGTTCCAATTTGAACTGAAAAATCTGTTGAAAATTACAGACACAGACTATGTTTTTTGCCTTGTGTAAAATTAGACGAAATGAAAAACCACCAATTCTTTTTGTACGAAGTGGTTATGAATTTAGCAATCTTTTTTTCCTCCTATATGTTACTTTTTTTTTTAAAGAAAATTAGTAAACATCACTTTTATGAGTGAGGTACACGTATAGGCTTATTCAATTTATTACGTGTTCATAATCTTTAACAGTAATATTGGGTAATTGTAATCTATTGAGATTTTTATTGCATCGTTAGATTATTATTAAGGGATAAGGTAAAAACTTTTTTTGCATGCAGTTAAAAGGAGTTTTTCGAATTATTACTATTATTATACAATTTAAGAAAAGCAGATTTTACAGAGCTTAAGCTCAATAATCCTGTAAAATAATTGATTGCAAAGAAATAATTTTTAAAGAAAACAAAAATGGTGGCAACTCAGTGAAATTAAGTAGAAAAGAAAATTATTAAACAAAATTTGGTTGTTCCTTTTTTTTGTAGTTATGACACTGTTATACAGTTGCAGAAAGAAATCTATCATATTATACTCTAAATATTGATGTGTATTTTTCTTAATTTATTACTCTGATGTAGAACATTTTAATCTAGGTATGTAACAAAGAAAAAAAAATTGAAAAAAAACACTGAAAAAAAAGATAAATGAACACAGACAGCTTTTAGCGATGAATTTGACCTTAAATAATTTAATTATATCACGTAAGAAAATCGGAAATATAAGTCTTATTGCTCAAATATGTGCCGAAACGTAACGTGGCTCCAATTTCCGGTTCGATCACTAATTCCTCTTCCTGTGACAATCCAGGATTTCCCGCTGAAAAGAAAGAAAATAATTTTTTTTTAATGAAACTAAGACTTGTATTTTATGATGATTTTAAAATTTTTTGTTTGTAAAATTGGTTTTAAAATTCTTTTTAAAATTGTGTTTAAAATTGTTTTTAAAATTATTTTTAAAATTATTATAAAAATTAGTTTTAATTATATTTTTACATTCATATAATAAGAAAGTATTTTTATATCAATTTTGAAATGTTTGGATTTTGTATACTTACAAAATTTTATGTCAGTTGGTATTGAGAAAAGTGTGACACGTTGAGGCTTTAAAACGCGTACATTCAGACATCCCAGTTCGATAAGTATCTGCGGAAATTAAAATTTATTTTCTTATAATTCTAATCTTCTATAGTTCTTCTCATTATTAATTTTAATATTAGTCTAATTATTTCTAAAAACTAGTAAATAATTACAATTTCTGTTAATTTTATTCAATTTTGAAATTTAGTTATAAAAAGAAACTAAATTTCAAACCAAAATTGCCGATAATTAAATTTTTACAATAAATTCAGGGCTCGAACTAAGTCTGTAAATTTGCTTCAAGTCCGTAAAAGTCAGTTTTTTTCAAAAAAAGTTCTGTAAAGTCCGTAATTTGATTGAAAAAGGGCGAAAAGTTCGTAAATTATACGATATAATTGGAAGAATTTTAGAGAAATTACAAATGATTACAGAAATTCAATTATTTTCAAAAGTAATAAAATTCTTCGCAGAAATCCAATTATGTTCAAAAAAATTTTTTAATTCTATTCAAAATTTCAATTATTTTTATAAATAATAAAATTCTTCGCCGACGAAATTCAATTATTTTTATAAATAATAAAATTCTTCCTCGAAATTTAATTATTTTCAAAAATTTTAATACAATTCTTGGCAAAATTTTAATTCTTTTCCAAAATTTTCTTCACTTCAATGATTTTCAATATCTACTATTTTAGTAAAATTTTCCAAATGAATTCAATTATTAAAAAAATTTTAATAAAATTCTACGCAAACATTTAATTATTTTCATAAAATAATACAAATTTCACAGGAATTCAATTATTTACAAATTTTTTATAAATTTTTTCGCAATAATTAAATTATTTTCATAAATAATAAAACTTATCTTAGAATTTTAATTATTTTTAATTCAATTTCAATTGAATTCCTCGAAAAATGTAATTATTCTTAAAAATTTTATTGAAATTCGTCAAAGGAATTCAATTATTTAAAAAATTATTGATAAAATTCTTTATGAGAATTCAATTTTAAGAAACATTCAATTATTCAATAAACTATTTAATTTTGTATTTAAATAATTGAATTCTCGTGGAAATAAAAAAAATATAAAATTTTTATTCAATTATTTTCGTAAATAATCAAATTCTTGTTAGGAATTCAATTATTTTCATAAATAATAAAATTCATTGCAGAATTTCAATTATTTTTAATGCAATTTTAATCGAATTCCTCGAAAAATGTAATTATTTGTAAAAAATTTCTTAAAATTCGTCAAAAGAATTTAATTATATGAAAATTTGTTAAAATTTTTATGAGAATTTAAATTTAAGATACATTAAGTTCATAAATTATTCATTTTTGTTTTTAAATAGTTGAATTCTCGTAGAATTTATTAATAAAAATGGTTTTAAAAATTAATTTCAGTTATAATTTTAGATTATAATTAAATATTAAAAGTATTATAGCGCGATTTTTTTAAAATAATTGAATTTTGAAAAGGTATCAATTTAAAATTTTCGAAAATCTGAATCTTTCAAATTTTTAACTAACAATTCTGTGGAATTAATTTTTTTGGATAAGTTAAATTGCGGATTTTTTTATACTATTTGAAGTTTTTATTTTCTAATATATATTTTATTGAAGAATTTCCAAATTATTGAAATTTTGTAAAATTTAATTATAAACAAATGAATTTGAAAACTTCTCAAAGAACTTTTTCAAAAATTATTAAAAATAATGGATTTATTAAAATATCATTTTATAAATTATTTATTTATAAAAGAATTTAATTTAAAAACACTAAAAAAAATTTGAATCAGTTACAAATTATTGCAGAAATTCAATTATTTTCAAAAGTAATAAAATTCTTCGCAGAAATTCAATTGTATTCAAAATTCTTTTAATTCTTCTTAGGGATTCAATTATTTTCACAAATAATAAAACTCATCGCAGAATTTTAATTATTTTCAATACAATTTTAATCAAATTTCTCGAAAAATGTAATTATTCTTAAAAATTTTATTAAAATTTGGTGAAAGAATTGAATTATTTAAAAATTTTATTGATAAAATTCTTTATGAGAATTGAATTTCAAGAAACATTCAATTATTAAATAATTTATTTATTTTTGTATTTAAATTAATAAATTCTAGTAGAATTTTCTAATAAAAATTGATTTAAAAATTAATTTCAGTTAAAATTTTAGATAATAATTGAATATTAAAAGCAATATAGCGTGAATTTTTAGAAATAATTGAATTTTGAAATTAATTTTTTTGAAAAAGTTTAATTGAAATTTTTTTATATCATTTGAAGTTTTTATTTTCAAATATATATATATTTAATTGGAGAATTTACGAATAATTGAAATTTCGTAAAATTAAATATTGTAAACAAATGGATTTGAAAATTGTCAAAGAACTTTTTCGAAAGTTATTAAAAATAATTGATTTAAAGAAGAATTTTAGTTAAAAATTCTTGAAAATAATGATTGAATTGATAATGATCGGACTGGTTATATTTTTTTGTCAGTAAAGTCCGTATTTTGAAATACTTTCACTGGTTCGAGCTCTGTAAATATGTAATTTTCAAGTTTTGTTATTTTAAGAAAATAGATTTGTATTTTTATATATTCGTAAATTAGTTTATAATTTTGCGCTAACCTCGACTAGCTCTCTTGTGTGGAAAGGTTGAAGTGCTGGAATAAATCGATTTTGTATTTTGTTTAACATAACTCCAGGATGTTTTATGCAGTACGATAAAATTGCCCCCATCATTCTGTCAAGTACTCGTCGATTTAGACTTCCATCAACATGAATCCACGGTTTTATCGCTACATTTACTTCTTCTGATGGACTGAAATTGAAAAAATTGAAAATACATGACCTTAAAAGTTCTATATGTTTAAATGAACGAAATTTGTTTATTTCTTCGTTGAATTTATTTTTTGTTGCAATTTTTGCGTCACTGGCAAAAAAGTTAATTAAGTCTCTAAATGTTAAATTTTTGTTTTTAACTTTGTATATTTTAATTACTAATCAGTAATTCGTAATAAAGTTAAATATAAATAATATTAATATTATATATTTTTATTAATTACTATTATTTATTATTAATATATTTTTTAATAAAAAATATTTCGTTCATTTGATCGTTCTAAACTTGTGAATTAAAATATTAATTGAAAATATTTACTTTGCATTTAACATTTGTTCGATTTGAAGAATCTCTTTGTCCTTTTTCACTGTATTTCTCTGTCTAGAGCTTCGTCTTAATAATCCGTCACTGGCATCTTCATTCGCCAGTTCATCGTCATGTTCCTTGTTCTCTTGTTCATCTCCCCTGTCGACATTTAATTTTTCATGTTCATCGACATAATTTTCTCCATCGTGTTCCATTCTCTCGGGTGAATGAATCTCTTGCTTTGGTATTATTTCATCGGTATTTGTCTGCGTTTTTGTTTCATCATTTAAAACATAAGTCGCACCTTTTGGTGCAGATTGTAGGGCTTCTTGTTCGAGACGTAGAATTTTACAGGAACGAATTAGCCATGAATCGGAATGTTGCTGATGAACGTAACGAACATTCGTGACGCCAGTTCGTAAAACTTGAAAATATTCCGTTAATATAGTGAGAATGTTGGAAAGTGCATCGCCAATGCATTGGAATGTCGTCTATAAGAGAATTGATAAGAAATGGAATTATTTTAATTAGGGATTTTGTAATTTGTGTAGGCGTCGGATATTATGACTTTTTCGACTTTAATTTGACTATTTTCAAAAAAATGCTAATTTTTTTGACTCATTTTCAAAAATTAAGACTTTTTCGATTTTTTTTTCCAAATATTGCAACAAAATATGTACCATATTTTTAGTATAAAATGCAACTTATTTCGATTTTTATAGTGTGAAAAATGACTACAGACAAATCTTTCAGAAATAATTTATGTATAATTTTTCTACTTCAATTTTCGAAATATACAGTCAAAAAGATTTTTAATAATTGAAATTTTGGAAAATTTAATTGAAGAATTACTCAAATAATTGATTTTTTTCAAATATTTTATTGCAAATTTTTAAAAATCAACTTTTGAAGAATTTTAATTAAAAATTTTGAAAGTAATTAAATTTTTAAAAATTTTAATGAAAAATCTTCAAGTGTAAATTTAAAAATGAAAATTAATGATAATTAGCTTCTTAAAAATTACAGTAAAATATATTTTAATAAAGTAATTTGGTAGATTTTTTTCATTACAATTTTTTAAAATTTAATTATTTTCAATCACATATTTCCAAAAATGCAAATACATATAAAAAATAATAAAATTAAAATTTATTGGAATTATTACCTATTGAATTTCAGGAGGTTTTAAATTGAAATTTCTTATCTTTTATTTGCCGTGGAAAAACAAATCAGAAATATTTATTTAACAAATTATTTAAGTTTTGAATAATTGAATTTAGAAATATCAGTGAAAAGTAAAAAAAAATAAAAAAAAATTTTTGTATTATTCATCAGGGTGGCCACATGTCAGTTAAGTCAGAAAAATGTCAGGGAAACAATTTTTCGAATTGCGACTTTTTCGACTTTTCTTCCAAACATTGCAACAAAATACTACAATTTTTAGTAAAAAAGTGCAACTTATTTTAATTTTTATAATGCGAAAAATTAACTATATAAACAAATCTTTCAAAAATTATTTTTGAATCATTTTTTAATATAATTAAATTTTTTAAAAATATATCTTATAATAAAAATTTTTTTGAATAATTGAAATTTTGTATTTATTTGAAATTAATTAATTAATTTATTATTTAAAATAAAATTTTGATAATATTTATTATATTTCGTAAAAATTAATTATTTAAAACAATGGTTAGAAAATTCTTATGTAGAATTCAATTATTTTCAAAAATAACAAAATTTTTCACAGAAATTCAAATCTTTTTAAACATTTTAACAAAAATTTTCGCAATAATTCAATTATTTTCATAAACAATAAAATTCTTCTCAAGAATTTAATTTTATTTGAAAATTTTAATAAAATTCTTCGTAACTATTCTATTATTTTCATAAATAATAAAATTTATCGCAGGGTTTTAATTATTTTTAATACAATTTAACAGTAATTGTTCAAAAATTATCCATTCCAAAAATAATTTTTTTAAAATTGTTTGGAAGAATACAATTATTTACAAAAATATTAGAATTTTTCACAGGAATTCAATTATTTTTAAATATTTTAATAAAATTGTTCGAAAGAAATTAATTACTATAAATAGGTACAATTTTAATTAAATTTTTTTGAAATAAGTCAATTATTCTTTTAGATTTTAATAAAATTCTTCACAAGAATTTAATTATTTACATAATATAAATATTTTTTTTGAAAGAATTCAATTATGTCGATAAATAACAAAATTATTCCCGAAAATTCAATTATTTTGAGGCATTTTAATAAAATTGTTTGCAAATTTCAATTATTTTTATAAATAACAATATTCATCACAAGAATTCAATTATTATTAAAAGTAATCAATTTCTTCTTGGAAATTCAATTATTTTAAAAGCTTCTAATAAAATCGTTCGCAAGAATTTAATTATTGGCAAAAATTTTAATTGAATTCTTTGTAAAATTTAATTATTTTTAAAAACATTTAGCAAACTAATGATGTTCAAAATTTACTATTTTCATAAAATTTACAAACAGAATTCAATTATCTAAAAATATTTTGTAAAATTCTTCTTAAGAATTCAATTCTTTTCATGAATAATAAAAATTTCGCAGGAATTCAATTATTTAAATTAGAATTTGCATAAAATTAGTCGAAAGAAATCAATTATTTAAAAAGTTTTATAAATTTCTTGTCAAGAATTTAATTATTTTTAGAAATATTTAAATTCTTTCATGAATAATAAAATTCGTTGGAGGAATTCAATTTATTAGCAGGATAAGAAAGAAGTAAATATTTTTTATGTAAATTAGGAAAAAGTCAGGAAAATAAAATATGGAATGGAATTTTTGTCAATTTTGTCTGAAACGAATTTTTTTGGTCGTCAAGTTTAATTTTTCGATAGCTGCTTTTTTACTACTTTTTTCAGTTTGAAAGCTACTTTCTTAAAATTAATTATCGAGTGCGAAATCTTTTTTTATACTTACCGATAGGTCCACTAAAGTAGCACCCAATTCCTTCTTTTCCTTGATGAACATACAAACGGCGTGAACAATCGCCCAAGGAATTCTCACTTTCTCCATCACGATTTGTTGAAATTCCTGATACGAAATGATTTGTTTTGGAAAAATAGCGTTTTTCTTAATTCTTGACAGTAGATTATTTACTGTATTCAGTTTCAATGGTAATATGTCCGAGGGAATTTCGTAACCCTGATGTACGTCTAATTTTCTTGGTCCATCAGCATCCGACAATTTTAGTTTGTGGAATATGTTGAATGAATTGACGACGAAAAAATCGTGAGCATGATGACTGTCAGCTAATGTAAGTTCAGTGTATTCTTGTCTCATTTTCAACATTCCGAATCGTGTGTAATAAAAATCGTTTATGCAGCGACGAGCTGGTCGCGGTTCGAAGTCATCCGCATCCCTAGGTGGTTGATCAACTTGCAGTGGATCTACGTCAATGATCTCTTTTTTCGATTCCTTTAATTTTTCATTCTCCTGCTCCTCGGGTTTTTGTGGTAATCGATTTGGCTCTCTCATTGTTCCGAGAAGTGCCGCTTGGACTTTTTGTAGATTCTTGGAATAGAATTGTCGCATTGTATTCGAGTGTGAGTTAGTGATGAGTAGTGGTTCCAAATCGGAGTTGACGTTATCGAGTTTTCTTTGTCGTTTCGCTTCGTGTGTGACGTGTGTGGTGTCATCGACTCGTTGTCTTTTCTCGTGCGGTTCGTCGTCGTCGTCGTCGTCGTCGTCGCTCGAGGGACAGCGTTTGATGCCACGTAGGTTGATTCGATCAATGTCGGTACTTTGAGGAGCGGTGTCATTTTGATTCCAGTTCGGCTCCTCGAGGAAGACGGTGTTTGGATTCTCGACTGTAAAATTGTCGTCGATTGTTCCTTTCTTGAGTAGAGGTCTCTGCATTATTTCGGAATTAGGCACTTGTTCTGGTCTATCGTCGAGTTCTTGGAGAATTGCTCGATTGCTGACTTCCACTCTTTGTGCACCGGATTCAGTCGCGTAGTTGTAATTCATCAGAAGGGATTGGTAACGTTTGGCGATCTTTAGATAAACGTCGTTCTTCTCCTGCAAGCGGGGATCTAGCATGATGACCTGATCGGGCATCTCGATTTCAAATTCCAATTGATCTTTGGCGAAAAAGTCATGAATACCGGCGACGACTCCGCCCGTGATTGGTTGCATTTCGATTCCGGGGACATTTGGCGGTACGGTGAAATTTAATTCTGGACTTTGGTTCTCGCATTGCCATTGTATTAGTTTGTAGAGAAGATTGTAGGATTCGGAGAAGACGCTGTAGGGCCATTTGGTTTGGAATTTGTAGTAGTAGTTAAGAGACAGTTGGTATTGGGCGTTTGTCATTGGCATGTAGTTGCCACTTTTTGGAACAGTTGCGGTTCTGAGAACGCCTCTTCGGATTGATACCATTTGATCGCTGCGGATTTTGAATATCGCGGCTCGAAGATTCGCCTCCGAGTACTGTTGATAAATTTTGAATAGTTGATAGGCCCAGCTGCGGCGATCTTTGCCGGAGCACATGGAACTGTGAATTACGCTGTTGAGGATTGCCACGTGAACGTCGTTGGGATTCTTGACGTCTTTGGTGAAACCCTTGGGATTGAGGACCTTTGAGGGATGTCGCAAATCGTAGATGAGATTGAAAGCTTGAATTGTTTGGGGTACCATTACCGGATCTCTGGGTTCCATGTTTGAGATGTCGTAATATTTTTTCGAAATGTAGGCGACAAGTTCTTTGAAGATTTTTGTTACTTTCTCCTCATACTCGACGGGATTGTGACACTCGCCCTTGATGCGATCGACGAGACCGTTGAAACGCTTGTTGACGAAGTAATTTTGTTTGATCTCCTCGATTCCGAGCATTACGCTGCTTATTGTTTGCGATTGTTTGAGCATGTAGTGGAGTCTTCGTTGACAGGCACGCGAAGTCTTGTTGTTGGAGCAGTTGGAGTAGGTTCTTAGGATGTCGCGCACAGCAATGAAAGTGACGAATTGCTTACGAGGATTCGGGAAGAGATACATCATTGCGACCTTGCACATTAGGAGAATATTGTCCTCGTGCGGTTCCCAATCGACGCGAAGTTTGTCCATTCGTTGTAGAGCTTTGTAATCGACTTCGTCGTATTTTACACGTTTCTTCACGGTTATTTTTCTTGGTAGCACTCGACGGACATAGGACTTTTTCTTTGGTTGAACTTTTGAAGTTGATGATGATGGTTTACTAGTGTCTTTAACTTCCTTCTCTGTATTCGATGTCACCGCAGCCTTTGCCTTGACACTCGACTTTGTCACTTTCTTGTAACGTATTTCTTTCGCACTCGCGAAAGTCGAATCCTGAATAGCTTCCTCCAGTGATTTTGGTGTCGTATCTAAAAGAATTTTTCGATTTTCCTGAGATGTTTTGTATTGCTGGTATGTGTAATTATTGTGACCCCATGTCCAATTTCGTTTGAGGTGGGAGAATAAAGCAGAATCGAGTCCAGCTGCTCCTTGATGATCACCAGGCACTTCACCATTATCATTCTCTTGTACTTTCTCCGGATCACGAGGTTTCGCCGCCGTTATCATTTCGGCCTTCTTTGGCAAATCCTCCAGTAAAATATCCTTCCCTTGAACCGCTAGTCGACCACCCAATGATGTGTGGATACAAATTTCCCACATATCGTACCAATATTTTTCAACATCCAGCAATGTTTTGAATTCGTACCGTCTCACTGGATAGGATTTCTCCTCGATTCGATGATAGCTGACGGAGGAACTTGTTGTGTCTGTAAGTTGTCCGCGACGATTAACATAGAGGAAGATTTGATCCTTCTCTTTGAGTTTCTGTGGACCAAATTGAACGAGGCCGAGATAGCAGAGACGAGTTATTGTTTCGTGAATGACAAAAATGTATTTACGCGATTTCAGGAGAATGTTTCTCAAGAAAGGCGAGATATCCTTAACGAGAAAATGTTTCTTGATCGGGTGATCCAAATAGGATTCGAGATCTGGTATCACGTAGGGAATGTTGTAAACTTTGACGAAAATTGAAAGCGGTAGACGAATAAGAACGTCGCACATTAAAGCCCATCCGTCTGACCAACCTGAAAGAATATTTTCAATTAAAATCCAATCTTAAAAATCACACGCAGAAACGATTTATTGTTTCGTGAATAACAAAAATGTATTTACGCTAAAAAAATAGAATAAACATTGAATTGAAAATATTTTTTGAGAAAAAATTCACCAGGATGTTTGTGTAGTGGTGGTATAAACATCTTCCAATTGACTTCATTCGTGTAGATCTCATTCATTTTTGCCTCTAATTCATCGTCAATGAAAATTCCTTCCTCGCGGAACTTTTCTATTTGATCACCTCTTGCATTTTGTAATTCTCCATTATGCTCATAGACTAAGTAGAATAGCAGATTGTGTAGGGCTTTCATTCTCAAAAACTTTGGACTGTAGCCATATTTCTTTCCGATTTTCTGTAAAATTTTAAAAATATTTTATGTTCCTAAAGTTTTTAAACTTTTAAATGAACGACAATATTTTTACTTCTTTCAATTTGAATTTTATTGCAAAAAAATCTTTTTTTTTATGTATTTCAAAAATTATTTCTTTACTAAGTAAATGTTTTTATTTTACATTATTTTTAACTTCTAACAATTTAATTTTACTTTAATCTTTAAATATTTTTTATGTCCGTTATTTCTGTTTAGAAATTTTCAAAAATATAAGATCAAAAAATATTTCGTTTATTTGAACGTTCGAAACTTTAGAGAAATATAATTTTAGATTATAAATTTAGGTTTTACTATTATTGTTCAAAACGTTAGAGAAATATAATTTTAGATTCAGGTCTTAATATTTACATTCGAAAGAAATTGAAAGTTGTATTATTGTTAAAAATGTAGAAAGTAAAAAAATTATTACGTACGGGATCGAGGAAGAGATTGACGTTTGTCACTTCCAAACTATCGGAAGTATATAGCGGAGTTAAATTTTGTTTTTTCGACGGATTTGATTTTGAGGCCCTCACATTTGGTGCTCGTAGCAAGCAAAATTTAATTTTGGCTTGTTCGACAGCTGACTGAATGAGAGAGTGATTTTTATCGATACTTGGATCACAAATGTAGGTAACGACTTTTTGTCTCGCGTTATCACTCAGCGTTAATTTAATGTATTTCACTAAATTATCCTTGGCTAATCTTTGCAGAACTCTTGCCAAAGATCTTTTATCGATCCTCACGAAATAGCCTTCTTTATCCTCCTCTTCTTTGATCATCTGCAAAAATTTATATTTTAATTACAAATCTACATTAATAATTGTTGTATTCCTATAATATGTTCGCAATTTAAATTAAGTTGTTGTTTGCTTTCTGTCTATAAATTCTTTAATAATTTTTCTTTTTCAATGTTTTCAATTTTAAAATTAATAAGTTGAAAATGATTGATTTTTGGCAAAGAATTTTATCAAAATATTCGTGTTTGTTAATAATTGAAATTAAATATTTGATTGTTGAATTTTATTAAAATTTTTAGAAAATAATTAAATTCATCTCAGAATTTTATTACAGTTTTTTAAAATAATTTAATTCATTCGCAAGAATTAAATAATTTTTATGATATGAATTTTAAAATTAAAAATATTTAACTAACTTCAAACTGCCAACAAATTACCGGAATACAACGATTATTAATACAGATTATTAGAAAATTAAATTCTTTTAAACTATTTTATTGAAGTTTTTGTAAATAATTAAATTTTTTGTAGAATTTCTTTAACTTACTTGAAAATAATGTAGTTTTTTTTAAATAATTTTAATTAAAACTTTTGAAAATAATTGAATTAAAGAAGGAATTTTCTCAACTTTTCAAAATAATTGTGTCTGTTAATAATTATATAATTAAAAATTTGATTATTAAATTTTATTAAAAATAATTGAATTCCTGAGAAAAATTTTATTATTTATAAAAATAATTCAATTCTTGCAAAGAATTTTACTATTTATTAAAATAATTTAATTCTTGCGAAGAATTTATAAAAAGTTTTGAGAATAATTGAATTCTTTCGTGAAATTTTAATAAAATTGTATTGAAAATAATTGAATTCCTGCAAAAAATTTTACTGTTTAAAAGAATAATGTAATTCTTTCGAAGAATATTATTATTTATGAAAATAATTGAATTTTTCAGAAGAATGTTATTACATTTTTTGAAAATAAGAAACACTAATAAGTAATTATGTACTTAATGAGTAAGTTTATAAATTTTGAATCTAAAATTAATTAAAAATTGAATTAGTAGTAAGTAACATTTGTTACCTAAATTTTATATATTTAAATTATAAATTAAATTTAAAAATAAATGAAAATTTTAATTTTAGACAATTGAAATTAAAATTAGAACCCACGAACCTTGAGGAGTTTTGAAGTGTCATCAATAACTTTCTTCTCTTTCACCGCTTCGATAATGAGATTGGCACGTTTCAATAGTCGATAGGTGACATTCTTTTGATTGCTGTTTTTGAAATTCTCCAAAAAGCCAGTAACTTGATTCTTCTTTTTACCGCCACATGAAGCGACAATTTTCGTTTTAACATCCTTGAAAACGCTACTATTCTGAGGTAATGTTGCACCACTTTGACTAGAAATCGGTGTCTCATTGTCATTTTGTGTGCCTTGCGATTCAAATTCCCCTTCATTTTGATTCCAGAAAGTTGTTGCGCGAAGTTGTGCCAAATTCAAATGCGTATAACGATACGCAGTTCGAGATCGTAAATTTTTATATTTTGCAAAAATTTTATTAACACTCGCAAATAATTGCTCGTCACGTTGAACTTGATAATTTTGCAGTTCATCAGTAACGTGAACATCCTCATTTGTATCCATTGGTTGAATTTCATTTTCTGGGATTTCTAGCGGTAAAATTGCTGGTTCAATCACTGGTTGATTTACTAATGGAATTACTTGTAGATTCACTTGTAGTGGTGGTAATGGTGGTGGCTGATCATTATTTTTCTCCTCCTGTGAGGAGCGATTAAATTCTTTCATTTTGTCCATTTCTTGTATTAATTGTTTGCTCATTTCACTTGAATATTCATACTTTTTAGCTATGTATTTTGTGACCCTTTGCTTTCCAACGTCATTCATGTAGGTTGCGACTATTCGCGTTTTTACTAAATTTCGAAGAATCGTTCGTGTATGTAATTTCGTCATGCCGAGTTTAGCTCCGAGTTCTGATTGACTTAATCCTCGATGACGAGCGTCTTCTACGAATTTATTCGCTTGCTTCAGGTACGATACGTTTAATTTTTGCCTCGATGTGTCCAAATCTAGAAGCAAAAAAATAAAATAAATAAAAATTTTTTTTTAGGGGGAAATTAAGAAATTAATTATTAATTAATCGTGATAATATACCGTATGATTCTTCTTCATCTGGTCCATCATGTTTTCCCCAAAATTGATTGATGTCGATATTTGGATCCACGAGTTGTACAGCTCTCACTATTTTTTCAGCTAGAGTCAATCCATTTTTGGTCAATTCGGTAGATTGTGGATTTAAATTTCCATAGGGTACTTTCTGTTGAAAGAAAATAAAATTAAAATTTACGGTAATGTAAAAAAAAAATTAAAGAAAATATAATAAAAGATCAGGGTTGCCACGATTTTGCTCTTTTTAAATTCCCTGACTTTTACAGGTTAAAAAACGGAATTGTAGACATTAAAAATAATTGAAATTCTTACAAGAATTTTATTAAAATTTTTGAAGATAATTGAATTTCAAAGAAAAATTTTATTATTTACAAATGTAATTGAAATTTTGACGAGAATTTTTGTAAATTTTTGAACATAATTGGATTTCAGCGAAGAAAATAATTGAATTCTTGAGACGAATTTCATTAAAATTTCTTTTTAAATAATTGAATTCTTTTGTGAAATTTTATTGAAATAATAGATATTGAAAATAGTTGAATTTTGACAAATTTTTGAAATTAATTAAATTTCTACGAAGAATTTTATTAAAATTATTTTGAAAAAAATTGAATTGTCACAAAGAATTTCATTGAAATTTTGGAATATAATTTAATTCTTTGGAGAGATTTAATTAAAAATGTATTGAAAATAATACTTAAATTCTAATAAATAAATTGTAACAAATGTTTTTAAAATTATTGAATTTCTTTGATAAATGTTAATAAAATTTTTAAGAATAATTAAATTTTTCGAGGAATTCCATTAAAATTGTATTAAAAATAATTGAAAGTATGCACTGAGTTTTATTATGTACTAAATTATTTATGAAAATAATTGAATCCCTGTAAAAAATGTTATTATTTATGAAAATAATTGAATAATAATTTATGAAAATAATTTGTAGATAATTGAAGTCCTGTGAAATTTCTATTATTTATGAAAATAATGAAATGTTTGCCTAGAATTTTATTAAAATTTTTTTTAACTAATTGAATTCATTTAAGAATTTTTATTAAAGTAGTAGATATTAACAATCATTGAATTAAGGAAAGTTTTGGAAAATAATTAAAATTTTGACAAGAATTTTATTAAAATTTTTGAAAATAATTGAATTTCTGAGAAGAATTTTATAACTTTTGAAAATAATTGAATTTCTGCAATCATTTGTAATTGCTTCAAAATTCAATTTGTTTTATTTTTTTTAACTAAAATTCTTCTATATAAATCCATTATTTTTAACAATCAATTAAATAAATTTATTAAGAAATTTAACTAATTTCAGAAGAATTTTAGTTATTAAAATTTTTAAAAAATCCAGGTTTTTTAAAATTTTTAATTAAATTTATTTAAAATTGAAATTTTACAAAATTTCAAAATCTTTTGAAGTTCATCTACTTATGAAAATTGTAAACGCAACTCTTGAATTGAATTAATTTTGAAATATTTAAGTAAAATTAGATTTTAAGAATAAACACAATAACTTTAGAAAACAACAATTTTCCAGGATTTCGATTTCGATTTCCAGGTTTCGTGGCAACCTTGAAATAAGAACTAAAATACGAAAAAATAAAATACACAAATTCAATTGAATGTTTGCTGTAGCTTACAATATCGGTCTTGATGATTGTTTTGAGTATTGGCGTCTTGAAGATCTTTTTCAAAGGAACTTTCAACTCTAATTTTTCCTTTAATTCCTCGTAACTTGATATATAGTTGGGCTTGGATTTAAGATAGTTGATTATACTTTCGGAAAGGAGGATAAATTTTGGTCTTCTCTCGACGTAAAATCTCGTTAGATGAAGTAAACTGCCACTGTAACTGTTGCCGGAGACACGCTCTGAATAGGCTTGTTTTGTAATTAATTTCTGTTTCAATAAAAATTTTCGATGATAGAACAGTGATTTGGGATCGTCGGAAATTGAGCCGATACCAGTTTTACCGCTGGAAACATCGCCATGATAACGAGCACGTCCAACTCTCTCGAGAAAACAAAATTGAAGAACATTCATTTCCATCACTGGACATGCTGTATCACCAACCAAAGCACGTTCCCTTAAACTTTGTGATGCGACAATAATGAATTTTTGCTCGTAATTAGTTATTATATCTTCAAGTGCGTAATATCTTGCATCGAGAGTAATATCCACGCGGGTGTTGTACGATGAACATGAACCTCTAATACCATTTCGTAAATCGTCAATTGGAAAGTGAGGATAGATGTCTTTTGGAATTTTCTGTAAAAAGGAAAATTATACGTTAGTTATTATTATTATAATAAATTAATTATAATTATATTATTACAGGTCTCGGATCGAGTTAAGGGGCAAAAAAATTCGCTTTAGTCGAATAAAAATACAAAATAGTCGAAAAAGTCGTTTATTGAATTCAATGTTGTCACAAAAATTTCATTTTATATTTCTCTGATTTTTCCCTTTCGCTGATTTCTAAATTCAATTATTCAAAACATGAATAATTTTGAAATAAATATTTAAACACTTCATATTTGTTTTTTTCAGGGGAAGTAAAATTTAAAAAAATTTCAAATTAAAACCTTTTGAAATTTAATAATTTCTAAAAATTTCGAACTTTTAGAACCCCTTTCAAATTATAAGAAACCCTTTTAAATTCAATTATTTTCCACAATTTTTAACTAAACTCAATCTCTAAATCAATTATTTTTAATAATTTTCCGAAAGTTCTTTGAGAATTCAATTATTTAAATACAAAAATTCAATTTTACATAATAATTTTAATTGTAACTGTATTTTTTTTTAAAAAGTTAAATATTTTCAAAAAATTATAATAAAGAAATTCCTAAAATTAATTTTTAAAAATATTTAAAAATAATTTTTGAAAGATAATAGTTTTTCAATTATGTACCATTGAAAAATTTCTAAATAATTTAAATTTATTAAAATAATTTAAAAATAATTAAAATTGGTAAAATCTTTAAAAAAATAATTAAATTTTTGAATAATATAAAAAATAATCAAATTTTTGACGAATTTTAATTATAAAAATGAACATGATTTCTCCAAAAATATTAATAAGTCTATAAAAAAGAAAATTTCCAAAAAATGTAACCAGTTAAAATTAAACTTTGTTCGAAGATAATTGAATTTTTTAAAAGAATTTTTGTATAATTTAAAAAAAAATACCAACTCCGAAAGTTTAATAATTATTTCTAAAAATTACAACTATAAACCTTTCAAACTTTAATTATTTTCTACAATTTTTTTACTAAACTTCATCTCTCAATCAATTATTTAGGTATATTAATTTTTAAAAAGCAGCAAAATAATTGAATTCGAGAATTCAGTTATTTTGCGAATATTCGACATTCGAACTGAGCGACTGAAATGTCGAATTTTAGAATTCGACATTTTAGCGTACTAAAACCGAACACAACATGGTTCGGTTCGAATTTTGTAGTAACTCGAATGTCGAATATTCGACATTCGAACTAAGCTAACTCGAATGTCGAATTTTCGACATTCGAACTAGGCGAAAAAATTCGAACAGTTCGGTTCGAATTATTTTGCACAGCTCTAAGAAGAACTAATTAATTTTATGAAGAATCTTAATTAAAAATTTTGAATAAAATTATTTCTCCTAAATGTTAAAAATATTTTTTCTAAAAAATTTTAATGTTATTAATTTTTGTACCTAGATGTATTTGAATTTTCGGAAATATGTAATCGAAAATATTGAAAATTATTGAATTTAAAAAATTAGAATGAAAAAATTCTGGAATTACTTTTTTAAAAAATATTTTAATCTAATTTTTAGAAGCTAATTTCCATTTTTATTAAATTTACACTTGAAGATTTTTCATTACAATTTTTGAGAATTAAATTATTTGAAAAATTTCTGCCAATTGAAATTCTTCAAAAATTGATTTTCAAAATTTAGAATAAAATAATTGCAAAAAATCAATTATTTTCAATTAAATTTTACAAAATTTTAATTATTCAAAACCTTTTTTATTGTATATTTCGAAAATTTAATTATAAAAATTATTCAAAAAGAACTTTTCAAAGATATGTCTATTATACTTTTCATACTAATAAAAATCGAAGTATAAGTTGCAGTTTTACTAAAAATCTGGTATTTTGTCGCAAAATTTGAAAAAAAGTCGAAAAAGTCGCAATTTTTTAATATAAGTCGATAAAAGTCGCATTATTTGAAAATTGTCGAAAAAGTCATAATATCCAAGGCCTGTTATTTTCGCAAAATTTGCAATTAAAAATCTTTTTTATTGTATATTTCGAAAATTTAATTAGTAAAATTATTCAAAAATAATTTTTTGAAGATTTGTCTTGAGTTATACTTTTCATACTATAAAAATTGAAATAAGTTGCATTTTATACTAAAAATGTGGTATTTTGTTGCAATATTTGGAAAAATAATCGACAAAGTCGTAATTTTTTGAAATATGTAAGTAGAAAAAAGTCGCCTTTTAGGAAATAGTCGAAAAAAGTCAAAAAAGTCATAATATCCGAGGCCTGTTATTATTATTATTATTTATTAATTAATAATTGTTTTAACTTTTTGAAAGCAATTTCAATTACTTACTGCCTTCTTTTCGTCCTCATTCAATAGTTCAAAACGATCGAAAATGATAAGAGGCTCTCTTGCCTTTTTTAATTCGTAAAACATAAAACCTTTGACTTTTGAACATGTTGACCAGATTTGTTCCATTAACGATTCTGTTAGAGGTAAATCTTCCTGAAGTCGAAGAGCCATTCGTTGCCATAATGCTGAAAATTTAAATAGGTGCGATTAAAATTTGTCTATTAATTTATTACCCACTTTTTATTAGTTTTTAGTTAAGGTATTATTATTCTCATTAGTTTTATGTTTCGTAAATGTTTTTAATTTCAAATACTTTCGCCTGAAATTTTGTGGAATTAATAATTACTTCCTATTCTAAATGAACTAATATTTTGCATAAAACAAATTAATTTTTTCGTGGTTGATTGATAATATTGATTTTAATTCGTAATTTACTGGTGTGTTTGATAGACAATGTAATAGAAAACTTGGGTTCGAATCTCTTTAGCTTTTTTCATTTTTCTCAAAAAGAATTTGAAGGAAAAGGAAGTTTATTTACTTTTGTAAATTCTACTCGTAGAATTGAAAATAAGAGGTAATTTTCCAAATTAAAGGATAATTTTAATATTTTATTCTATATTCCGGTGTTGGTGCTTGATAGGTAAATAAGAATTTTGAGGTTAGAATTAAAATTGCAAATAATTTACAAACCTTCTAAAGTTATTCCATCTAAGCCCTCCAAAGCAACTTCGTCGATCACACAGTCAACTAAATCGACTGAGGAATTTAACATATAATTTCTTAATTCCATTATTAATTAATAATTAATAATTAGAGGTTATTTTTTATCTGATACGGAACTTTATCTTAAAAAAATATCATACACTTTATTTACATGTCGCTTTTAACTTAAACGAACACTATGCTTATTAGCTAACAAGGAAACTATTTTCAATAACCATTTTAATAAAAATCATGAAATTATTATTCATGTTTAGATCATAAAAATCGCATTAAAAACACATTCTTTCCATATAAAAAGTAGAAAACTTCTAGAAAAATCAGAAAAATGTAGAAAGTGGTTAAAGGGTAAAAAAGTTTTCGATCGCAGCGCCGTACCGTAAAATTTGACAACTAAATTGACAAATGATAATATAATTTTCTACTTTATTGTTGTAAGTAAATTAGAAAATTAATTTATTTTTTTTAAACTTAAATTTTGACTTTTAAACTTTTTCTTTAGTTTTAAACTTTAAAACTTAATTTCTTTCAGAAAAGTAATTATTATTATTTTTACAAAACTCTTTTTAACTTTTTAAAATATTTTTTAATTTAATTTACAATTTAACAATGAAGCTTTCTCGTCTTATGTACATAAATAGTGTTACATTTTATATTGTTTAAATTTACTATTTATTGAAAATTAAAAATTTGTAGAATTTTAGAATAATTATTATTTAATAATTACATTTTGCAAAATATTTTCAAAATGGATAATAATAGTCGTTTTAAAATGATATTTATTATTTAATTTTTATATACACACCTTTTTAACATTATAATGACAATATTACATAATCAATTAAGTTTCCCGTCCAGACACTTGTCTGGATCTTCCACTAGGTCAAAGGTTCTTCAATTAACAGTCATAACAATAATTAATTAAACTCAGAACTAATATTAAATAATTACTTAAATAAAAATCATCAGTTTTTTTTAAATAATGGAAAATAAGTAAATTTTAGAAAACTTTTTTTTACTATAATTTACTATTATTATTTATTAACTATTTTGCTTTTCTTTATTCATTACTATTTTATTAATATGTTTTGGTTTTAAATGTTGTAAAAACTTAATAATTAAATAATTAATATTTATTAACTAAAAAATTTATTAATATAGTATGTTTTTTTATTCCTTCCTTTCGGTTTTTGAATAAGAAGAGAACTTCATAATCTATATTAATTAATTAATACTTAACAATTATTAATTAAAAAAATTATTAATATAATATTTTATTCCTATAATACGTTTTGGTTTTAAATGAGGAGAAAACTTAATAATTATTAGTTATTAACTAAAAAATTTATAAAAATAATTAATTAACTGAAATATTAATTTATTATTATTATATATTTATAATTATTGTTAATTAAAATACATATTAGTCAAAAAATATTTTATTGATAAGTGTTATTTTTATAATACTTGATTATCTTAAGATTCTTAACTTTATAGGAAAGTAATTAAAAATACCAGCATTCCTCTTCATTAATAAAGGAAAAATAAAATATGTTTATTATTAGGTGCAAAATATGAGGTAGATTTTATAAATAGATAAAGAAAGATTCCTTTATCGTGATAAGAAAAACGATAGTAGTGTATATATAGGATGAATCGTACTTATCATTTTTTAAACTAATTATGAATGAAATAAAAAAGGATATAAATTTTTCATTTGCAGGCTTCGCACTCATCTACTAAAATCTACTATTTACTACTTATTTTACGTTATGATACTATTTGGGAACTTTTTTTTAGATTTCAGTCACTATAAAAACTACTATTTCTGTGTTTCTTTTTTTGAGAATTTCCACTACTTTAAATTCGCTAATACTAGAAATAAAAAATCTGTTCTCAAAAATTATAATCAAATTCTTTAAAACGATTTAATTATTTTCAAAAAATATTCGAAATTCAATTATTTTCATAACTATATAGTATTTTCATAAAATTTCGCAAAAGAATTCAATTATTTGAAAAAAAATTGATAAAATACATCCAAAATTCAATTATTTTCATCATTTTCATAAATAATAAAATTTCCACAAGCATTTTCAAAAAAATTTGGAAAAAATCAATTATTCAACAAAATTTTTATACAATTCTTCACAATAATTCAATTACTTTAACTAATAATAACATTTTTCATGAAAATTTTAATTTTTTAACAAAATTTTTGATAAAATTGATGCTGCAGCCTAGCACTATTGTTGTTTTTTTAAATTTATTAATTATTATTAGTACATTTATTTTTTGTAAGCCCGTTTACTACTTAAATAAAATAAAATAAAATTCTAAGTAAGAATTCAATTATTTTCATAAATAATAAAACTCATCGAAGAATTTCAATTATTTTGAATACTATTTTATTAACTATTTGTTTTAATAACAAGTTGTTCATTTCATGATCATTAAGCTTCCTCAATATAATATATACCAATTGTTTAATTTTTTATTTTAGAATAATTATTTTAAAGTGTTAAGATAAATTATCAAAAAATACAAAATTTCAATTTTTTGTGAAAATTTAAAATATTTATTAATTCTATAAATTTTGATAAAATATATACTTTATATACATGAATCGATTCGTTTTTATGTCAGGAATGCAATTTTGACAAGGATTAATACAAATTTTAATATAGAAAAAAGTTATTTCAAAAAATCCAAAAATTAATTTTTTCAAAAATTTAAAAATTTAAAAAAAAATTTTTTTTTTAGATATTTTTGAAAATCCTTTTGTCTGATTTTTGGTATTCGTGACCGTAATACACCTACAAAATTTTATCAAAATCCGTCAAGACGTGTAAGAGAAAATTTGTCCACAAGAATCGGTGACATACACACACACACACACACACATACATCCGGACATTTGTTCCTCTCGACGAATTATGTATACTACACTTGAAAATTTGTAAAAATAATTGGTTCTAAAAAATTCGGAAATCGACATCACTATAAGGCTTCCTTTATGAGGAAGCAAAATTCAAAGTTTTTTAAAAATTTATGAAAATAATCAAATATTTGTGTCCAATTTTATTAATTTTTTTAAAAAATAATTGAATTCTTTTCGGACAATTTTGTTAAAATAGTCAATATTGAAAATAATTGAAATTATATAAGAATTTTATTGTCATTTTTAAAAATAATTGAACTTTGGGGAAAAATTTTGTTATTTACAAAGTTAATTAGGATTTTGACGAGATTTTTTTTTTTAATTTTGAACATAAATGAATTTTATTACTTTTGAAAACAATTGAATTTCTGCAATTATTTGTAATTTCTCCAAAATTGAATTTTTTTAGTGTTTTCAACAAAAATCTAAATTAAAAATTTTTGAATTCTTTTATTTTTAAAATTGATAATTTTATCTGAAAAATGAAAGAAAAAGTTAGTCGCGCGAATTATTGCTAGTTTCGATTATTTTTAATACTATTTTAAATTAATTAATCGAAAAATTCAACGATTTTCACAAATAAAGTTTTCCACAAGAATTCAATTATTTGTAATAAAATTTTCATAATATTTATTACTAGCTGTCGTACCCGTCTTCGACGGGTTTTAGTTTCTACCAATACATTTAAGTTTCTACCAATCTGGAAAATCAGGAAATAGCTAGGGAATTTAATTTGACCGGAAAAAAATAATAATTAGTTACCATTATAGCTATTTTAGTAGGAAAATATTACTATTTGAATCAGTGATTGACTTTTTGTTATCAAATTAGTTATTTTAACCAATTCAAATGCAGAGAACAATATTTATCAATTTGTAGTACTTTAATTAATGTATTAAAAAAATTAAATTTTCCATACAGTTTTTGGAGTTATAGTAGAGTCTAATTGGAACTAATTGTATCGCAAGTAGACCCTACGTTACGACTGCTAAAACCTAACATAAGACCTAAATTTTAGGCTGAAAGTAGGGCTTAAATTTTGACTCGGGTCTGTTTTCATAAATATTATACATCAATAAAAATTGAAGTAAAAAGCAATTTTTTAAAAGCGAATTAATATAATGAAACTTTTTCTTAATTTGATAGGAAAATTCCCGGTTCGGCATATTCCCAGCTTTTTACAGTTTTTCCCGTTTGGTAGATACCCAGTTAAATGTATTAGTATAAACAGAAAACTGTACGACAGCAAGTAATACAATCTATATTTATATGAACTTAAGAAACAGTATTTTCATAAAATAAGTAAATTTTTATAGCCATTTGTAGATTTATTTATGGATAAAATCAAGTAAATTTAAATTTGACAAAAAAGAGATAAACCGTGAAAAGTTTGGACAAAGCAGGGAATTTTGTTAAACAAAAATAGACACCGTGTTAACTTTTGTCTTTACATTGCTCAAAACATCTCTTAAAGTTAAATCTAGAGTTAAAATGAAAAAACGTTTTAACATGTAAGTTTTTGCCTAGTGGCATAATATGCTTGTATTGTATCACAGGTGACTTACAATTCTTGACATCCTGCGAAATCATTTTAATCATAAAAAATTTCCATTTTCAATATTTCTGAACTTCTTGAAAATATTAGATTGATTTGATAAATAATTTTGAATTGCACTATTTTGACATCAAAATATTAATCAGAGACTCCAAAAATACTACTGAATTATACTTCATATAGTAATTAGTATCGATTTTTTGATATATTGAAAATTTTTTTATATTTCTTGTAGGATAGTATTTTTTGCAAAATTATGATAAAATCTGACTAAATAACATATAATATTCATTTTTAGAAAGTTTAAAAGCTATCCATTAAAAATTGTGAAATTTGGAAATTTTCCATTTTTCAAGTTTTTGAAAATATTTTTATATTTACATCTTAGTTGTAGAATAGTATTTTTTGAAAAATTATGCTAAAATGTGACCAAATAACATGTAATACTCAAATATAGAAAGTTTAAAAGCAATCCATAAAAAAATGTAAAATTTTGAAATTTTCGATTTTTTGAAAACATTTTTATACTTACATATTAGTTATAGGACTTTATTTTTTGCAAAGTTATGCTATAATGTGACTAAATAACATATAATACTCAAGTATATAAACTTCAAAAGCAATCCATGAAAAATAAAAAATTTTGAAATTTTCGATTTTTTGAATTTTTTGAAAAAATTGAATATCTCCCGTTCTAATTAATATTTTTTAAATCTGTAAATTTATAAACCTTCCTTGGGTCAATACCTAATAACCTACCAAGTTGGACTTAAATCGATTCACATGTTTTTGTGTGATTGGGGTACAAAGTTTTTGTGACAGACAAACAT